CTCATTCTCTTGGTTTATTCTTATTGTTGAAAGCATTAGGGAAGGCCTTATCCCTAAAGCTTGTAATCTATCACTCCTGGGGGTAAACATCATAAATATTCCAAAATCCAGTGTAGGTGTTGAGACAAAAGGAGATAATGAAGAGAAGAAATTGCCAAAAAGAGCAAACTGATAATATTTCTATACAATCTAACAGCTTGCCAGAAATAATAGTTTGGACTTCTGTTCTGTAGATTAGATGGAGATATACATAGTCAACTATTTTATTCTAGATAAGCTCATTTCTTTCATTTAGAGCCCAAGAGGAAGAGGAATGCCATGATATCTCTGTCCTTCATCTTGTAGTCTACTGAATAATTAGTGGTAATTCAGAAATAGCTCCAAACCCTTACACCTGGTATACCTATTGCAGGGGTGCAGCTGAAGTCTCACTCCTACTTGAAACATTTACAGGGAAATTATATTTATCAGCAAGAGCCTGAAGTTCCAACAAGCTGGCTGGAATTCACACTGACAACTGCAATGATAGAACAGCTCTTCTGCATGATGATTTGTCCTATATAGGGCAGAGGCTTGAAGGCATGAGCAAAGGTTGCTGTAACACCTTTCTAGGCATTCTGCTCTGCTAAAAATGAAACCTGTCAGTGTTCTTCTGCCTCTTGGTTTTTTTTTGGGTTTTTTTGTAGATGCAGATGTGTAAAACTGATAGCCAATGTGAGCATTAAAGCTTACAGTACACTCTCAATGAAAGGCTTCTGAAGACTGAGTGTATGTGTGTAAGGGGGTAATGTAGCCCATTTCTTTCTTTTCACTCTTTATTCACCATCTAGCATCTTGAATTTTCTGTATTTTAAACTACAGTGGACTAAAAGAAATAGATGTGGAATCAGAACTCAGATCTGCAATTGGTTTTAAGATCTTGTCTGACTCTCTTCACTTCATATTTCCTGTCTGGGGCAATACTATTACAGCATCTAGGTACATTTAAGAGCTGTTATGTTTAAGTGCTATACAAACCTAGTATAAAAAATATTCACACCAAGCCCAAAGAGCTGGATTTCCAACTTCATGAAAGTACTTTGATATTTAAGTTACTTTTTTTTTTTTTCCAAATAAAGGTTTGAGAAGAGGAGACTGATTAAACCCAACATTATGTTGGCAGGCAGGAAAGACAAAATGCGTTTCTTTTCATTTAAGTTAGGAGGAATATCAAGTGGCAAATGCCTTTTTTTCCTCACCCTAGCTATATGATAAAAATCAAAAAGCAGTATTCTAATTTTTTTAAGTTTTAAAACAGTTTCCAAAACTTTGACTTTGGAATCAGATCAAAGTTATGAACATGGCAAAACAATCCCACCTAGAGTGCTCATGGGATGTTATCTTCCAAAAAGAGTAAAATAGCTCATCTCCCTTTTCTGTTACAATGATTTCACTAAGTATCTGACAATTACTTCTGACACTGAACTAGTGAGTGTTTTTTTTCTCTGTTGTCCCTCAAACAGAAGTTTCTCATGAAATTATGAGGAACATTTCAGAGTTGTGACAAAAATATTAATAACTCTGCTTTGTCCAGTTTAAAATATGTTTGAATATAGAGCACTTCAGCATATGAAGCAGGAACATAAGTGCTAGTGTCTGAGAACTCTTTAGCATGCATTGCTGAATATACAAATGCACACGTTTCAAAACCACACAGACCTGAAAATTTGCAATTGAGAAGCTAAACAAGTTCAATAAAAAGACAGAAAAAATTTCTTTATGTCTAATGGCAAAGTACCCTTTCTTTTACAAAGAAAGCAGTTCTTCTCTGTAGTTTAGAACTGATTATGAAATGGATATGCAGAAAGCTCTCTATGGAATTAGAGAAATATGAATCTGTGCACTTCAATCTATTTTATACATGTTCTGCAAGACCTCAACAACTAAAGTTAATGCTCCCTCGGCTCCATTGAACTAATTAAGCTAGGCTATTTTATTAATAATGGGTTGTCCATCTGTCTGCATTTATGGCACTTAGCAAGTCAGTGTGAGTGTGAATGCTTATGTTATGACGGAGAGAGCTCCTGACAATGAATTAGATTAATCCATCAAGAGAATTAATGTGACATGATTACTGTTGGTATCTGAAGAAGCTGGCATACACAAACAGGTATCTGCAGCTGTAGGAGGTAAGCAACAACACTGCAAACAACTGGGCAAGGCCCCGAGCCTGTACTATTGAGCAAAGAGGTGGCTGACACCAAGACCTGGTGACAGGCTGCTAATGTGGCACTTGCAAAGGGCACCACAGGATCCGAATGTTGCTATCAATGCTTAGGTTAACTCAGCTGGGTTGGTATTTTACCACAAATAGTTCTAATGCTCTCTGTCATGTAAAAATACCTAATCTAATTAGTTTTCACTTCTTTTCTTAAGGGGCATGAAAGAGTGAACATATTTGAAAATTAATTAGGAAAAGCTCTGCAGTCATCACCCCAAAAGTATAAGGTCAACAGCACTTTGGGTATGGCTTTGCCAGTTTTCTTGTCAATTCTTTTTCCTCTTTCAGTTCACTTGCTCATAGAGTTCCATAGACAAAGTTCCTAATGGCTTGGAACCTTAGTTCCTTAAGCTGATGATACTTGGCTGACAACAGCATGTAATGATTCTTCTCTGTCATAAATATTAAAATATAACAAAAAGTTGATTGCTGGGATAGAGGAAAAGTTTTTAAAATCACTGAAGTGAAAATTTATGAAGAAAAAAGCTCTGTTCTTGGCAGAGAGAAATACACATATGAACTGATTTGTATTATGATCTGGTATGAAACAAGTTTAAAAAAAAGTTTTTAAAGTGATCTTAATGCTGCCTCCTAGAAGTTGATGGGCAGTTCCAGAACTTCCTTTCTCAAGAAAGCAGCTTTAGAGATCTATCAACAGCACCCAACATTCATTACTGACTGTGACACAAGGGAATAAATACTTTAGTCTCATGCCTACAAACCCACTATACTAATTTTGTTTTTCTCATAAATAGAGGAAGGCATGAAGTGATTCAAGTCCCACAGAAGTGTTCTTCAGCCTTTCCACGTCCCCTCTGCCCTTCTAACCACTGAGGATCCAAAGATTAAGTTTGGTGAACTGCCAAGATCTGTAGGCACTGGAGTAGGGAACAAATTGTTCATATGGTTTGTTAAACAAACAAAATGAAATGTCTATACAATTAAGCTGTTTGTTTAAAACAGGATATATTGAATTAATTCAAGACTTCATGGATAAAAAATTGGTTAGGTATTTATGCACAGTGTAACACTAATTTAGAGATGAAGTTACTGGAATGCTCTTAAGCTTCAAAGGCATGATTCATGGCACTCTTCTATGTGTCCTAACTACACATGGCAATATAGGCAGCCCTATAAAATAACCATAAAATAGCTATATGGATGCATAATAGCAAATACATACTTCAGTATGTATGGTAAATCTTGAGTAAAATCTGACAAACAACATAGGTATCACTGGGTGCAGCTTGCAAAGGTGTTATTTTATATATTATTCACTAAACTAAATGAAAGTATTACTAAACTAAATAAAACTATTCACTAAACTAAATAAAACTATTACTTTGACTAATGAAGTCTATTGAACAAGGAGCTATTTCCATGAACAGTAGAACAAGAGGAAGAAAAATAAAATAATGTCCTGTGCAGGCTATCTTAAAACATTTTGGACTGTTATTTCAAAATCAAATTTCCACAAATAAAATTTTTATTCATTGCAGCACTCTCTGCAAAATCAGAAGGTTAAAAGAAAGTAACAAAGCATAAAATAGGCATTTGAAAAATTATTTCCACATTGAGATAACTTAAGAACACCCAAATTGATTTTTATTAGACTTCTCATATTCACTTCTGAGCTGACACATGCATAAGATATTCAGCTCTAAAGGTCACTTCTGAGAAGGCTATAAGTAACTGGAACTAGCACTGCAGGATGAAATGATGGCTCATTGCTGACTATTACCGTTGGAGAGTGATAGATATTTTACTCCTGAGGCTGAGACAGATTCTGTAAATAAATATTTATTTCTTGGCAGTGCCAATAGCTGGAACATGATGTGATAGAGTTTTTTTCCCGGTGTTATTAGCTGACTCAAAGAGAGTGTGGGACGGATGCTGGCAAGGCCCGTGGGCCTGTGTTGGAGGGAGCCCACCACAGAATTTTCTCCAGGGCCAGACAGGGCAAGCCCTGGCTCCTGGCACCACATGGTGAGCGGCCAAGCTCAGTGCGGTTCTCTCCTCTTCCTGCTCGCTGCCCTGCCCCAGCTGCTCAGTGCTCTGCTAAAACCTCTGCTCGAACACCCAACACAAATGGGGCTGGTCAGCCTGGCTATGAACACCTATTTCTTCCTCTTCAGGCTTTGGTCACTCCATGCTTTATTCTCTCCATCCCCTCTTCTTTTTGGTGCCAACATTAGTCCCTGAGGTTGTTCAGCCCAAAGAAGAGGTGGCTTGGGGGAGGTTGTAGCCAGGTAAGCGTCAGCCTCTTCTCCCAGGAAACGAGCGACAGGTAAGAGGACACAGCCTCAGGCTGCGCCAGAGGTTTAGGTTGGATGGGAGGCGGAATTTCTTCACAAAGGGTCCGATTAGACCCTGGAATGGCCTGCCCAGGGAGGTGGTAAAGTCAGTATGTCTAGAGGTGTTCAAGAAATGGCTGGACATGGCATTTAATGCCGCGATCTATTTGATTTGGTGTTTGATCAAGGGCGTACTATAATTCAGACGCCTTTTCCAACACAGTAATTGTGTGAAAACAAAACACGAGAGATCTCTGGTGAATTGCAACTTTTCTCCAGAGCGAATCGCTGGCTCTGCTGTCCATCCCGGACGGCGAGGAGGCGTTGCCCAGCTGCCTGGAGCCCTCCGCGATGGGACCCCAGACCCTTTCGCAGCTCCCCGCTCCCCACGCCGAGCCCCGCCTCTCCCCGGGCCGCGTCGGGCCTGGCACAGGCGCAGCCTGGCTATGGCGGCTGTGGAGCAGCGCCTCGGCCAGTACCGCGCCGCCCGCCGTAGCTGTGCCGCCGCTCCGCGCCCCGCCGAGCTGCCGGGAAAGGCCGCGGCTCCGGAGGCCGCCGAGGGACCGCGGGCAGCCGCGGAGGGCACGGGCGGCGGCGCTGAGGTGAGCGCCGGGGCGGGCGGGGTGGGAGGTGCGGCGGGCGGCCGGTGCCTGACGCCGCGTCTCCCCGCCGGCTCCGCAGGTCCGGCCCGGCGGCCCGGCGGCTCTGGGGTGGGCGCACCCGCTGCTGCTGAAGGTGCTGCTATGGGCCGTGCTGCTGGCGCTGTTTGCGGAGCTGGAGCTCGGGCTGCCCTACTTCGTGCTCTCCCTGCTCTACTGGATGTACGCCGGCACCCGCGGCCCCGCCGAGCGGCGGCCCGGCGAGCTCAGCGCCTACTCCATTTTCAACCCCGGCTGCGCCGCCATCGCCGGGACGCTGACGGCCGAGCAGCTGGAGCGGGAGCTGCACTACCGGCCCGCCGCGGGCTGGTAGCGCCGGGCCCCGCGGGGACCGCGCTGTGCCGCGCCGGGACAGCAGCCGCGCCGGACCGGCCCCGCTGCCACCGCCCCGAGGGACTTGGGGGAATGAAAGGGGGTTTGTTCCTGTGCAAAAAAACTACCTGAGCCCCGCGCCCCACGGCGCCCGCCGGTCCCGAATAAAGCCGTAGCAAAACTGCGCTCTGGTTTCGTTTCCTGGGGCCGGGCAGCTGTTTCGGCCGCTGTGGAATTGCCCCGAGAGGCACGGCCTTGTCACAGCTGCGGCTGCCAGCACGTCACCTGGAGGGCTTCAGCTCCCGAGGGCTTTGCCTCAGGTGGTAGACATAAAGGCTGGCGTTTGACGACATCTGCAGCAGAAGGGCATGCTGCTGCTCTCCCCTGCACCGGCTGAAAACCTCATTCCGAAGAAACGACAAGAAGCAATAGTCATAACACCTCAAATAGGCTGCTGCTTTGGCTTGCAGTGGTGTCTTTCATCTAACAGAAACATCAGATTATAATTCCCTTTTTGCTTCATATTACAGTTTTCATAATTGTAAACTGAAAAATAGGTGTATTTGTATGATCCACAGCTGTTTTTAATATGTAGATCATTGCATTGAGCCAGACCTGCTCAGCGAAGTGTTAGCCACCACTGCTTACAGCATGGAAAAAACATGGGTGTGGCATTTGAGAACATGTTTTAGTATGGTGATGCTACATAGACAGTTGGACTTGATGATCTTGAAGGTCTTTTCTAACCATAACAATTTTATGATTCATTAAGTCAACATTTTGAAGAGCAGCTACTAGAACTTGTGTCTCTGAGGACAGAGTTAAGAAGTCACAAACTGGTCTTTCAAATTCTTGAATTGGTCATTCAAATGTCTTTTCTAATTTAACACATTGTTAAGCACCTTGTTAAGGCTTGACTCAATACAAGTTTGATCATTGGTTGTAGAAACGAAAGTGGTGCTTTGAATTTAACTGACTAGTAAGAGAATAATAGATTAAAGCACATGTAATATGTTAACACTGATAAACATCTCTCAGTAGCTCTCTGAAGCACTCTCACACTGTCTTGGGCTGTTGTATGAATTCCAAGTCCTGCTATTGGAAGGCAAAAAATTTTGTCATTTGCACATACTCTGTCATCCTCCAGTAAACCGCCCCACCTCAGAGTTTTCATTATTCTTACTGATGCCTTTTCACTTTGTAACATGCTGCATTTTGTGTTTGATTAACATTGGCTCAGCAGGGTCAAACACCTTTAAGGTAGTGGACACACAGTTGCATATACTGTTTCCTTGAAAGAACCACAGACTGTGAATCTGCCCATTCTTAAAAAGTATTAGAGGAACAGGGTAAGAAGTCTTTAGATGATACTCAAAACACCTGTAAGCAATGGAATTCTGTGAGTTAAAACTTTATTCACAACAATAAAAATAGACATCAGCATCATGTTCATGGGGAGTTGATAATCTGACATCTTGTACTTTTCAGTTCTGTGGGTATTTTTTAAAACAAGGAAATACATGCAAATAAATATAAAATATAAGGCAAGATAAACGAAATTATAAAAATTCATAGCAGCAATGCTGGAAATAAAGTTTTCACTTGCTATACACTAGCTGCATTATGTCCAGGTGGATGTATAGACTCTTGTATTTAATACTTCATGAAACAAGTTACCCCAATAAGTGAGCATGAAGCCAAAAGGCACAAAAAATAAAAACTGACACAGTTCATCTCTTCCAGTGCTTTGTGTTGGCTTGCTTATTTCATGCTACTCAAATAAATGTACATTACATATTGTGAAATAGAGACGGCATGAATAACAAAGGCTTGCAAAAGGTTTTACTGAAGTAGATAAAGTATGATGGAGAAATTGGCATTGAGGCCTTGCTCAGTCTCCAAGTACACAAATACTGTAATTCTGCTTGGTGTTAATTACTTCCACTGAGTAGTTTTCAGAGGCAATTTAAAAAGGTTTAAACTAGAGAGAGCTTAATTAGAGGGGGAAAATTTCCTCTGCAGCCTTCTGCTTGGCTAAGACCTCACTTTGTTACCTTACTTTTCTCTTGTGTTCTAACAAAGCAAAAGTCACCAAGATAAGTTAACTGGAGTTACTCCTGTGGGCCCAAAGCCCTCAGTTCACAAATGAGTAGGAGGGACAAGAACAGCTTACTAACTCAAAAGCACATCAAGCTGTTGAATCTTGCTTGTGACAGCAACTAAGTACAGGTTTGTTACTACACATGGAAATGCTCTCTATTACCATGTCTGTCCTCTTTGTTACACACACTTGTTTGGCCAGCACTGCAGTGAGTTAGAACGCTTCTGTAACTTCCTGTTTTCATAGCAAAACTCATCTTGCCAACAGCTGCACAAGTAGCAGCTTTTTTCCCAGGTTTGCACACAACTAAGCTGGACCAACATATACTCTTGAATATTAATGAGTGAAATTATTCTCACCAGTGTGCATTAAGCTACAGCTGTAAATTACATCTGTCACCTTGTCACCTACATGCTGCCTTTTCACCTGCCAGTGACAATCTTTAGTACTTTTTTTCCTATTCTTAGCACAGGGTAGACGTTAGATAGAAACATCAAGCATACTCCGTAAGCTAATTAATCAACTTGTAAGACATCAGTTAACAACTGCATGCAGTAGACAAGTATTGTATTGATGATCACACAACACAGAAGCTAGTTATTAAACATACAGAAGAACCTGAAGTGCTTCATTCCAAAGTCAGCTTTGCTACCGATGTTAGAGAGGCCTGGAAGCAGCCTGCAGAGAAGCCAGCGTGCTGAAGACACATAAGCCAGCCTGAGAACTGTGGTGGATTTCTGCAAATGTCTTTCTCCCTGGAGCTCAATTACAAGCATTAGAGCAGAAGGTGGTAACACATCCTCTTTAATTCAATTCAAACCTTACGACTGCAAAACTAATCCATGCTGTTGGCAATTAGGTTTCTAATACAATGATTAAATAATCCCATGCAAAGCAATCTAGCTTCAGGCAGGAAAGATGCTGAGTTACATCCCAGAATATCCAGTCCACTTTCTTGGCAATAAGGGCTGCTAATGCAAGTGCAAAGAGACTTGAAAATAGGGAGGGTTATTTTTGCTGAGTCTTTGTAAGTGCTTTGCCACAAAAGTTATTTATTACAACAAATCTGTGAGCAGGGAGATTCTCAGAGCTACTCTTTGGCACTTTGCCTCTTTGTTGTAAAGGGAGCCCAAGTAAAAGTAAAGCTGTGCAAAGCTTGTTATTAAGTGATATAACCTATCACATCCTGCTTCTAAAGGTCCTTCTGCTTATCTCCAGCAGCTCTTGTCAACATCAGGGACAAGACATTGTCACACACTGTGTGCTGTGTGACACTGTGTAGCGTCACACACTACACAGTGCAGATGCAGCCACTGCATGAGCCCTTGTTGTTTTAAACAGAAAAAAAGCTCATGGAGTTCAGGATTTTTTGTTTGGAGTTACTGGTTTGGTTTGGGTTTTTTTTTTTTGGAATGCCACTGATGGGAAGCTGGCAGGCTCTGGAGGATAGCAGCCCACCACGGGAAGCTGTCCTTGGTCTTGAACCCACGCCCTCCACCAGGGTCACATCCCCCTCCATGCTTGAGGGTACCTTGTGTCACAGGAGAGAAGGACCAAGGCTGGAGGGGAAACAAAAGCAAGTACACACTGCAATGAGGTCTGCTGAGACTAGCAGTGGCTGCAAGCTGACTTCTCTGTGTGTTTGCACCCACAGGAAGCAGAGTAAAGCTCAAACAGGAAAGGTTCTCTTGAAAGACAAGTCATCACCCCATCACTGTGAATACCTGTGTGCCCATCAGGTGGACAGCCTAGCACTGACAATGGAAGGGCTGTGCATGCAGGACACATTTCATCCATGTCAACAGAGATAATGTGCACCTACTTCTAGCAGAGAAGGTACCTAACAGATACTGCATTTTTGTTCTGTTTGGGTTTTATACTTTTTTAAGTGAAGCTTGAAGATAGCATTCAGAAGTGTTTACTACACTACCTGCTGTATATTTGTAGACCTTCAGGATGCTGTTCTTCACCTATCCAGAAAACAGATTAGCATATTTTCAACTTTAACTGTGGGAAACCCCTGTTACAAAACTGATTCTTCCCTGAAACACAAGTTGTAGACCACTAAATTATTTTTTCCTAAAAATGGCGATGGCACCTTACCCTCTCCCCAGAAAAGTCTAAATGTATTTTTTTGCAATAATCATATCCTATATCCTTGTAATTTAATCAGTTGATCACTCAGCTCACCGACTCAACAGTAATAAGCCATTGACCCCGTGGTCTCAGACTGGATCAATGCAACGCTTAAGTTTTGGACCCCCAGGGGCCTTGTGTGCAAATAGGAAGAAACTCCTTTAACTTACTTTAGACATGACCAATTTGTCCTCTGATGTGTTGATTACATTAGCAGATTGCTTTCCCTAGAAACCTCTGTCCAACAGCCTGCGGGCGATGAGCCGCACATGCTTAAGTTTCTTGCTGGAGATGACAAACTTAAGCCACTTGCTTGGGTATTTAAGTGTTTTCAGGTACATTATACAGTTCATTGCTTTCAGTCTGATTCACCTGCAGAAATCTCAGCTGAATGTGGCCTGACAAGTGGCAGCATAGACACTGCTGCCTACTGTGCCCCCACTGCTGATGCTGTTGGCCGGACACTTCAGAGGTTTCATACTGCTGTCTCTCTGGACATACAAGTGTTCCAGTCTCCAGCGCTCCCAGCTTTTCCGAAACTCCATCTGAACCTAACAGAAACAAAGGAGGAAACAAAAGGAATGAATCAGCTCTTTAAATGACTCCATCACAAAACAGCAAGGATAGCACACTACTGAAAAAAACTGGAAGTGCTTTAAACCCGCAATATTATTGCTTCCAATATCCAATTATCTCACTAATCCATTTTAGGCTATTCCACATTTAAAATAATGATGACATTCATTTTTACTTATAGAATAAAAGCTCTTTTATGGACCAGAAAATCTTACCTTCATTATTTTGCTCTAAATTATATTCACCTACAATACTGATTGGACTCTGTGCCCTACCATTATTAACAATTAAGCTGACTTTGCTTATCAGCCATGAAACAGCTGAAAAGACTGGCTTTCTGCTCAGTATTGTACCATAGGTATTCTTAAGAATTCTAACTTCTGGTTTCACTTAAACATAATTATGTCCTTGTTTATTCTGGCCTTTGAATATTTATGTGGGTTCTTTCTATTTCATACAAAACCAAATGTTTATTCAGAATTGAACACAACAATTAAGCAAGTTAGAGACTGTACTTGTTCCCCTATTAAATAGCAATTACAGTATTTCATGCTAGATACTAGCTTTTCTTAAAGCTACAAAGTGTGCTCATCTAGTCACAGGTTCTGGGTTAAACTGTGTAACCTCTGCACAGGTTTGGAAGTTTATCCAGGATTTTGTAACTGCTAAACAAGAACAGAATTAGATCTTCCTGTTCCATGGGCAAAGTTCTTGCCACTTGACTGAAGTAAGAACCTCCACTAGCTTTTAACACATAAGGCAGAGGACATAAAACGTCATACTTGTTACTCTAGATAAAGGCAGGAGTGCAACCACAGTAATAAGTTCATTATAGTGTGTACTTCAGCCTGGAAATAAGTTCACTGTAGGTGGGTCACTTAAGGGAGCCCATCTCTGGAGAAACACTTTTTCTTTTATTTTAGGATCTTGTACTGAGTACCAAGAGACTAAGCAGGTTGATGGCAGTTTCAGCACAGGTTTGTCATCATGCCTAGGCTGTTGAAACCTTCATTTTCTGAGGGAAATGTCCTAGGGAACCAGTTGCTGTTTTCTTTGCTTTTGTTTCACTGCGAAATACTGAATTTGAGAGGCAGTCCTAAAAAAAGAGCAAAACCTTACAAAACTAATTGTCTTCCCCTGGTGGGTGCCTCTATCAGTGCTTGTCAGCTCTGGCCTACAGCACTTGCATTGAATGTCCTCATGGAACCAGCTGTATCTCTGTGTTTCTGACAATCTGTCAGAATCCAGAATCTGACCTCCACTGTCACAGCCAAATGGGTCAGAAGGAAAGATGCTGAGACAGGTGCTTTTATATTAGCATGGTAAGGGGGTTTATTGCATCAAAAGGTACACAAAGACACCAGAGAAAGTGTGGCTGGGATAGGGCACAGAACAATGAGGGAGAATGGTCAGACAAAGACAGAAATGCAGGAACCATAGTTTCTGCAAAGTTAAAGTTTTTGCAAGAAAAGAATCAACCATATTACCTTTCCAGTAGTTGGCACCTTTTGTGAGCATGGAAGCATAAAGCAGCACTGGGAAAAAGCTGTTGTGGGCATTTACTGGCAAATCCTGAATGAAAGCATGACTGTAGTGACTAAGACAATGAGCAATAGAAATAGGTACCTTTAGGTCAGTCAAAGGGAGGAAATGAGTCTTTACTCCAGCTGGACATGGCAGGCTTCAGCTATGCTAGAAATAGCCTGCAAAACTGAGATAAAGTGAATGGAAGACCTGAACAAAAGACTGTAGGAATGGGTCTTAGGAACAGATATGACTGGCATAATATCAGTTTTCTCTCCAGGGGTTAGGAAGAGGGGTTAGGGAGCAGGTCTACTGCCTGTGTGGAATTGAGTTTTTTGCCTAAATGGCTTTGAATGTATAAGCAAGGGAATTTGTTAAGATTTATTTTGCAGAGGCAGTTCCTGAGCACAGAAGTAGATCTACAGATCTTTTAGCAAAATACTTACCTGTAACTTCCCTGTGTTGGTAAGATTCCCCAGAAATAAGCTATACAGGAAAATGATACCAAGAACAAAGCTCCCACAATGTGCTGACTTTGGCTGGGGTAGAGTTAATTTTATTCACAGCACCTAGTATGGGGCAGTGTTTTGTATTTGTGCTGGAAACAGTGTTGGTAATATAGAGATGCTTTTGTTATTGCTGAGCAGGGCTTGCACATTGCCAAGGCCTTTTCCACTTATTCCACCCTGACAGCAGGCAGGCTGGAGATGTGGAAGAGGCTGGGAGGACATCTGCCTGCAGTGGAAAGTAGTAAATTAATTCCACATTTTGCTTTGCTTTACCTATTTAGTTGTCTTTATCTTGACCCAAGAGTTAGCCCACTTTTATTCCTTCAATGCTCTTCCTCATCCCACCAAACTGGAGTGAGTGAGTGGCTGTGTGGTATGTAGCTGCTGTCTGAGGTTTAAACATGACATGAGAAAGGGGAAGAAAAAAATTTATGTAGGGTGTTTTTTCTTTTAAAAGTAAAAAGGAAAAAAAAGGAAAAAGGAAAAAAAAGGAAAAAGGAAAAAAAAGGAAAAAGGAAAAAAAAAAGGAAAAAGGGGGGAACTTGAAAACAGTGGTCACAGAGGGCTCACAGAGAGCTCTTGATTGAGCTTTATGTAGCTAATGGGGAAGGAAGTTGACAGTGTGGCACTGAATCTGGAATCTAATTATAAAAAAGCCCTACATTTTGGCAAAAAAAAATCTCAGCAAGTGATAGTGAAAGTAGCTCCAAAATAGGATGGAACTGAGCTGATGGAAGAGTTTAATTAATAGTCTGTATAGAGAATCAAGAGAAATTAAAGGCAAAAGAGAGAATTGGCCAGTATTTCAAGAACTCAGAAGTCCTGTCATCAGGACAGATTTTTTTTTAAAGTAGAAGAGACCGAATTGTACTTCTATTGTGACAAGAAAGCAAAATGGAGAACCAAGGCTACAGAGAATGAAATCTGAACCATCTTTAACTAAGTGGTGGAAAAAGGCAGCATCTCTGTGGTCTAAAGCATTTCTCTAGAAAGCAGCACTAACTGCAAAAAAACTGGCCATATTAAGCCTAGGTCATTTTGCAAAGAATGGCCTTGCATTTACCTGGTGGTAACAGGCAGTCTCATGAGACTCTACTGTTGGCTTCAGAGCAAATTCAGACAAAATCCAGAATCTTTCAGGCAAAATAAATATATTATAAATATATAAAGATTCTCAAATATTAACATACTTAATTTTTTTTTTCAGAAGTAGATATTAGAAAAGGACATTAATATCACTTCTATCTTCATTTCTACTATTGATCTGGGCACCAGGACTTACAAAGAACTTTCATTCTGTATGGTTAAAAAAAAGGAAAGGAGTCAATGAATCACAGACCAGAATAAAATGTACCCTACATTGCACACAAGGATAGTCTTTGGACACACACAGTGTGTCAGAAGACAGTTTCTCATTTAGCTTAGGAAAAGAATTCTCATATAGTTTAAAACAGACTTTACTTAATCAAACTCTTCTTAAGGATTTTTTAATGGATGCTGATGACCGGGCTTGACAAAATCCTACTCCCTTCTTTGAACAAGAGTTGGAACAAGCAAAATAATTCATTCTAAACTGCCAGTGAAGCTGAACTCATCATATTTAAATTTTATGAACTACATTACAAAGGCAAGAGAATTATAGTAACAAGAGTTCTGGAGCATTTCTTAGAAACATAGGTAAGCTATTACACAGTAAGCTCTCCCAAATGAAACAAGCATGCCTGTTTGAAGACTTGTAATAAAGTTTGGGTTATGATTAACTTTGTGAAGGAAGTTATTGAGCATTACACATGAGAGGTCTGGCTGCAGCTGCATGAGGGATGTATGAGCAAACACCAAGGTGAAGCAAAATAAATACATGAACTACCAGCAGACTGTGCTGCATCTCAGGATTGAAGTGCACCTACCTGTAAAGCCATACATGGAATTTGAAACAAATATTCTCTAATTCATGACATGCAGCAAATGACATTAATTCCCAACAGCCAAGCCTGCTCCTACTCACCTCTGATTTTGGTAAGCAGTACAATAAATAGATTCACTTCAATAAAATCTTACCCACAACCTACAAAAGTGAGTTGACTCCTGCAAGGCTTCATTCAGGATGCCTGCTGCATTCCACTTGACTCCAGCCTGGCCATAATGATAGAAGTACCATATTTTTCTACTTATTCCAATTCCTTGATGAGGCCTCTCTATCAATAAGTGATCTTGAATTACCATGTCATAGTTAAAAGTAGATTTATTGTGAGTGTAAAACATATTGATGTACATTTAATTGAATAATGTAGTCACTAAATGAGTAGTGTTTGCTTCCATTACAAACCTGGCTGCCGAATGACTGAATAATAATCACTTAGAAGGTAATATGAGAGAATCATGCAATACTGAAACAGAACAATATCCTTTCCCACTACAGGGCTGGGATTCAGCAGAAGCCATAGAAGATGGTGCTTGCAATCAATTATCTCAAAGCCAAAGGTACACTCCTCCTGGGTCTGTGAGTTTATCACTCTGTGAAGTTCAGTTTTAATGAGAGAGCGATAATGCGTTCAAGCAACTGGAGCACAGGGAAACCAAATAAAACCAAACTGTACAGCAAGAGCCGCGAGGATTCTCCAACTTCACCAGCAACTGAGCTGAGTTCATAGAATAAAATGGGCTCCACTCCCACATTCACAAAAACAAGCAAATAAAAAGCAAGTAAAAGCAAATAAAATAAGACAGATTAAGAAGAGCAGCTGTAATTCCTAATTAAAGAATGCAAACTACACAATTGTAAGAAAGACTGTTGGTGAGATTCCAAATTTACAAATAGTGACCATAATTTATACTGCCTGAATTCCTTCCAAACACATTTGTCTGATGAGTTATCCCACAGAGCTGTGCAGGGAAGGATCTGTAAAAAAAAAAGTCCTGAACAATGACATTTAGCAGTTCAAGATAATTTTCAATTTCCTTTTCCTACAGTGTATGCTGATAAGGCAAATTGGAACAAAAATAGTATCTCTCTTACCTCATTATTGATGAAACAGTAAAGAATTGCAACCATCAGCCCCTGAAATCAACAAAAACCAGAAGAGTGAGCAGAGCAGTTTCCTCATTTTGCCAAACTCAGTTGCAAAGGTCTAGAAGCACCACACTGACACATCTCTGGTAAGACTGAAAGGTGGAGAATCCTCGGTCCCTGTCAATTCTGAAGGCAGATCAGAGGTTCGACCAAACTTTGTCTCAAAGCACATGGTCTTAGAAAAAAGGAGTTGTTTTTTTCAATCTGTTATTTTTGCCTAGTGATTCCTTTCCCCTTCTTCCTTATAAAGCAAAGATTTCAAGTCTTAAACACTTTTTGAGTAATTCACAGTGGCTTTAAATACAGCTCTGTGTTTGATAAACAGGGAACAAGTGAGTGTGCAGGGAAATAGAGTAATGATTTCCTTACACAAGGATACTAATTTGAAATGGCTTTACCTAAGGCAACAGTTAAATAAAAATCACAATAAGCCTATGCCCCTCTCACACGCAGTTACAGCTGGAGACAGCTACCTTTCCCAGCACAGATTTTCCAAGGAGTATCAGAAACACTGGAGAAAGCACAAAATGTGCTTTCCGCAATGCCACTGTACAATTACAGGAAATCACAGACAATTTTGTTATTACCCTGAGGTGAACCATAGGAAGTAAATATTAATATGTGGACAGGAATACCAGCTTATTGTAGTAAAGCTGGCTGTTAAAAATTAGTCCTTACACTTTCCCTTCCACTGTCATAATCCTATGCTAAACTGCGAAATATAAGGAACATAAGCATGCAACGAATGAAAGAGAAAGCAGGTCCTCAAACAGCAGTTAAAGAGTATCTTATGTCCATAGGCACACTGTGAGTGCTACCTGGAATGAAGCAAAGGAGAGCTCAGTAAAAAGCTTCACAAAGCGCAGCATCCCTCTGGCATGCTCGTCAGTAATAAAGGCAAAGATGACCTCATGGGTCCCCAGCAGTGGGATCAGAGTCAGCGTAGACTTGGCCAATCTAAGATCACAAGGAAATAAAAAAATCTATCAGTGCCACTGAACAGACCATAGTTGATCCAAATGATCACTGGGAGTCACTCTTTCTGACACAGTTTCAACTTTCATAAATCACTGCACCACTTTGTGATGCAAGGTCTTCTTCTAGAGGCTGCAGGATAAAAACCTCCTTAGTTTCTACAAGTTTTAACCTCCCCTACCACTTCACTGCAGTCCATTTATTATTGAGAGCAAAGTTCTGTATCCAACTACTGGCTGTATTTCACCTGGAAAATCTTCCAAACTCAGTAAGAAGCCATGTGCTTTCTTGCACCTGTGATGTCTTTCCTCTGTATCCTTTTTTCTACCTTTAATTTGAAAAGACAACCAAAACCTACCTTCTTGATGACATGAAAGATATAATCTATCAATAACTGGAATATTTAAAAAACATCTTGGCAAAGGGAGGAGTACTTGGTATTCCTTCCCACCTCTGCGGTGTGTTAAATCTTCTAAACATTGTAACTATTTGCAACTGCAGAACACTTTGTCAAAGCAATCAAACTGTCTTAAAATGAATGATGGCAAGTTCAAAGTCACAGCTCGCAAAGGATGAAAGACAAACCAATCTGAAAGAAATGATTCTTCACCTATGAGAAAGTTCAAGATACACAACCACAGGAAAAAATTCACAAGAATGATCCTTAACTCTCTTTTGATGGACATACATGCCAGCCACCCAACAGGATAGTGAAAGATGCCTGGGGATCATGTGGTAGGTTCCTGGGCCACAAAACTCACCATCTCACAACAACCTGTCTTGAGACAAGTCAGTAGATGCAAAATCACTCAATTAGCAGGGCTCTCAGACGTTTGTAGCTCTTGTGTGCCTGAGGGCTATTGGTTGCTATTCTGAATCACGTAACTATTCAGGTTGGAAGGCACTTCTGGAAGTCTCTAGACTAACTCCAGTTCACAGCAGGTTACTCAAGGCTGTGTCCAGCCAAGTTTTGAGTATCTCCAAGGTCCACCAAAGCCTATCTTTCAGCATCAGACCACTCTGACTGTGAATTTATTTTTACCTGACATGCAAGAGGAATTTCTCCTGCTATAACTTGTGACCTTTGCCCTTTGGGACTCTCTGAAAATACTCCATTTTCTGTACAAGTGGGCTTGGAATCAAAGCCTCCAGCTCAGACGAGTCCTCATCTTTGCTTTGAGCTCTCAAGGCATGTTAGAATTTCCAAAATTTCATGTGAGGTAAAGAAGGTAGGTAACATACACAACAACTCTACACTCGTGAGAAATCACCAAAATATATGCTGTGTCTTATTTAGAAGACTGAAGCATCAAAATACCGAATGTAAAATAGCTAAGTCCAGTGACAGCAGCAGTCCAGCTACTACAGCACCTAACCCCACACTTCAAGAGCTAACTTATTATTTTTACATTGTTTTTCAGACTGCAATACAAAAGTCAAGATGGAGAAATGAATGATGCAACCATGAATCTTAGCAAGGTGATTAAGTAACAGGGAGAATACAGTCAAAGATAGACTGACTCCAAACCAAAAATCGAATGTATCTGTGCTAGTCCTGACATTTCTCTTGAAACATCTCATGCATTCAAGATTGAAAGTTCTCCCAATAACAACTGGCAAATAGAACAAGGAGCAAAACTCAAAATTATCCCATCTTGTCTGACTTGAAGTGAAAGCTTTTATTACTATCAGCTGATATTTTTATGTTCAAATTAGAGTAAGTTAGGATATTTCAGGGAGGAAGCTATGACAACCACCTGTTCAAAACTTAAAGCAAGTTCTTAAGGGCACTGTCCAAATGCCTCTTACACACTGACAGATTTGGGGCATTGGTCACCTCTCTAGGAAGCCTGTTCCAGGGTCTTACCATCCTCTCAGTAAAGAGATGTTTCCTGATGTCCAATCTGAACCTCTCTCAGTGTAGCTGTGAACCATTCCCATATGTTCTATCACTAGATACCCTGGAGAAGAGCTCAGCACCTCCCTCTCTACTGCAACTCCTCAGAGGGCTGTAGAAGGGAATGAGGTCATCCCCCAGAGCCCTTTGCTCCAAACTAGACAAGTCAAAAATCCTCAGCTACTCCTCACAGGACATTCCTTCCAGCCCTTACACCAGCTTTCCTGCCCTCCTCTAGGTGATTTCAAGGACTCTAACATTCCGTACTTGCATGTGTTGCAGGTATTTTAAAAATAACTACTTAATATTCATCCAGTCTAATGAAAGACTGTAGAGTGACAGACATCTAAGCCTCTGTTTATAGCACAGGTGGAATACCTGCCCTGGTTTCCCTGAGAGTTTTCTATGGACTGACAGTCCAAGCAGTTACACCAATGAGTGACACCATACCTGTGCATTACTCAAGGGCTGTGGTGTTAAATCACTGTTGTCAACCCACTCCTTCCACATATGTCCTTGTCTGCTTTTATTTCGATGAGCATGAAAAGTGTCAGACCACCTTAAGACATACCTGCATTTTATGTCAGTTTTGCACATCAAATTAGCCTGCAGTTTGGAGACGATGATGCATATAACTCTGATGAAGATAAGGAAATTCACCTGGAGAAATGGAAGAAGAATTTATATCACCATCAATAAACCCATGTGCATAAGTACTCAAAAAGGCTGGTTTGTGTATGCATGTGTAGCTCTCTGTGCATCTTGCTATGTAGCAGCTGCAGAATTTGCCACAGAACTCAACTCCTTGCTAAGGAATTGTGGTCTAAATGTGAATGCACAAGCCACCCTTAAAAACACAGGAATTTCATTACACAAAGCAGGGGACCCCAGTTACTTTCTGGAGAATGAGACACAGTAAAGGTATGGGTTGGCCCATTTGCCTTGTCTGGAGGTCTGAGCCTCCAGACACAGTATGGTGCCTACAGAACATTTCTACACAATGCCACACATTTTGCAGCTCTTTTGTAGCCCAGTATCTAAAATAGTATCTTTGGTCTCCCTGAACTACCTTCCATACCTCCTGCTCACAGGGTTAATGGGACTGCTGCAGCATGCTGTTCTGTTATCATGTCCTGCCACTACAACATGACAGCTTGTGGCCAAATTAAAGAAACAAAATGCTAGGCTGGAATTTCAGTGACAGAAACCAACTTGGCTTCATAAAATCACATTTCTGAATGAAAATGTCAATAGCCTCAAAGGTTATTAGCCTTTGGACATGCACAATGGCCACATGTGCATCTTTGTACCATATCGTGCTGTTCTCAGGGAAATCTACCATCTCACAGCACATGTCTTACTCACCCCAATGGCGATGAGGATGGGCAGTCTGATGATCAGCCAGTAATTCATGTTATAGTTTCTAGTCCAGCAACTAGTAGGAGGACAAAAAGGAGATGAAGGAAAAGTTTCAGTACATTACTAAAATCTCTTGCTTTTCATTCTGTTCCAGCAATGCAGATGGAAAATAATATTAAGGATTAGATATGAGGAAAGCACATCATGCTGACATGGAAACAGATGCAGCTGCTTCTGAGAAACACTGAATTCTTTGTCCTATTGCAGCTATCATAATCCAAGTGGATACTACTCACCAGCCTTTCTTGCCCACTAATGGCTAGCTCTACTCCACAATTTGCCATGAATTATCATCCATTAATTGTGACCATTTACTCCATTAAAACCAAAGTCAAATTTGTCATTTGGCTGAAAGAAGAAGGGGGGGGAATCTATTTGAGTCTGATCTTTCTGCTGTCATTCTTAGCTTCCTCATCCTGCACTATTTTTTATTATTCTTCAGTCTCCAATGTCAGATCATCTTATTTAATTGCTTGTTAGTTTTTATCCCATTACTTACCATCATTATTGTCATAACAATATTGAGATCAGTCATCTATTTTATCTGTCCTTATTTTCAAAAAGGAGTTACTAATTTCAACCATGGGAAAGCAATTGCAGCTGCAAACTCCAGCTCCTTCAGTGCATATGCACAAAGTTTCAGGCCCACTGAGAATTTTAAAAATTATAAACAAGTAAAATCAAAAATGGGAGCAACACTTCCTGACTTTTGCTGACCTGAGCCCTCTGCCAAGTAAGTAGCATGCTGCAACAATATAATACTTCATTTACCGCATGAGTCTCATTTTAATTTTCAAGATTCATGTCTCCTTGAGCAATACGGAAGAAAAATTACAAGAAAAGGCACGGCAGCCACAGCTTGGGATCACTGGTCTGACCTGAACCTTTCCTTTCCTCTGGCCACAGTCAGCTACCACCACTGCCTTGATGGGCCATGTCTGTGCAGCATGGCCCAGGTGTTAGGGCAGTGCTCATGTGTCACTTCGCTTGTTGCTGCAGTGACAGCATTCTTAGTATTTCTGTGAAATCACTTTGTTAGCCTCCTGCTCAGCATTACTCAGAAGCAGCAGACACCAGTAAATCCAGCAGGTTTCTGAGCTACACAGGCTGGGAAACAAACTAGGAAACAGCACTACATAAAACATGGGTTCCTTCCCAAAAGAGGTTTCTCTTCATCTCTGAATCTGTTCTGCCAAAACATACATATGCACAATGTTCCCTAAGGCTTCTTAACAGAAAGTTAAGCTTGGGTGATGCTGGTGGAGCTGAAACCCTCCCCAGCCGTGTAGTGGGACAATCGAAGAGAAAAGAGCAAACCACGCAGCACCTGGGAGGGATCCATGCTACAAGCACACACCCACATATGCTCACTTACTAGAGAGGAAAGCGACACAGCTTGGCTGTGGCAATTCCACAATCTCTAGCAGGGACTGCACGTCCAAGAAGGGCTCAGGTTTTTCCTTCTTCAGTTTTATGTGTACAAAAAAGCATATTATTGCACCAGCAGCTCTACAGCCTCCAATTCAATTGTATTTTAGGTACTGGACAATAAAGGTGTGCAGTGTGTGTACAGTCAGTGTACCTGAGCCAGAATCTCAGTTACAGAGCTTCTTAATTGGTACACATGAGTGGGAGCCAGCTTCATGAAGCCTTTGAAATTCATTTTATTTGAACACCTAAAAAGTGATGGGATAATAGGCATAGCTGGAAGTGGAGTTCTGATTTTCTCACTAGCTGCAGTAGATGCAGAGATAATGAAAAAAATTCCTTATAATAACAGAGGTTGAGAAGCAATTCTTTACATTAACTCTGCTACATTTGTGTTAATTTGCTTCCTGTAGCACACATCAATTTTAACTACCTTTAAATTTATAGAAATATGTGCAATTAAAAAACCATTACAGATCAATTAAGGTGTCATGGCTTTTGAAGCATCCAGAAAATAAAACTGGTAGATTTCTACATGATTTCTGATTTCTCGCCCATCTGTGCTTTCTGTGATTGCCACACTGATAAATACACCAATATCTATTGCGCTAGGGATCTATTCCTACAGTTTGCACAGCAACTCTCCAAAGATGCTTGGCATCTAATAGCCAAAGACTCATGAATGGAGAATTTGTCCAGTGAAAAAAATGCTAGTGGGATGTTTCTACCTTTGCTTACCAATCCAGTATTCTCCTTCTAAAAGTAAAACACTGCATTTTTACATTGAATTGCTACAGGTGAATGAAAAAAAAAAGATTGAAGGCTGTTTTGCTTCCATACTTAATTGCAGACAGATGCAAAAGTGTGTAAGTATCAGCTTTTTAGGCACAGCCTAATAACTAAGAACAACAGCTTGCCTTTAATTGTATTTGTTATCTAGACAAAATATTTTTGAATAACTCACTTTTTAAAACACTAATTGTATTCTAAAGGAGCATATACTTGCACATGTAAAGAAAGAAGAAACTGGTGTGCAACCAACCAAGTCTTGCAGGCTTCAGTCCTTTACTCAAATGGCTTCATTTGCAGGACTGCCTCAGATTCCTAGCCCTGACCTCATTTATTTCCCGTTATTCTTCATAGCCAGGGAAGTAGTTAAATCAAATTAAATTTACAGCCCCCTACACGGTGACAGAGCTATGGCAAACAGCATGAAAGATATCCCTGGCTACTTCAGCAAATGCCTGCCTAAGGCACAGAAATCTTGCCTTTCAGAGCAGCTGCTGCACGTAATTTTTATTGCTGTATTTTACAAATATTTAGACAAGATTTAGAAAATTCAATATTGTGCAAAATTGCCCATTTTAAGGTCTGCTGAAGGCAGTGAGTGACAGTTTTCCTTAATAGAAAATATAAATCAGCTCTGAGCACCACATAATGTGGGAGGCTCAGCATGAGCACTTTGAATACATTTTCTACATCAATGAGAAGATATGCCCATGGAACATCGCCTGTTCTGAGGCTGCATGGTCTCTACACCTATTCTGATAATTTCAACAAAACTTGCAGTGCATCAGTACAGCCACAATCTCGCTACAGAATCATCACATCAACATTGAAAAGGAAAGTAAAAAAATCCTAGCATTGCTTAAGCCAGAAAAGGCAGATTTGACTGAACTGGTTCAGTACTATGAGGAACACACAAAAAAAAGTTGGTTCTTAATACTCAGAAACACCAGAAAACAGTTCTGGGGTGGCTCTGGCTAAACTGAATTCTCACATTGAAGAAACTCTCCAGCAATAATTGTGTCTGGGAAGGAAAAAAAATAGAAAAAAAGAAAAGGCTCCTCTACAAAAGTGTTGGCTGAGTAACTTGGAAACTAAGTAAGAGGAAAACCCACTAAATAAAAAAATTAAAATAAAAATGAAAGAGCATAGATTTATTTATTTTCACAAAGAAAACTACCCAAATATTTCTAGGCAGCCACTATCTCTAAAAAGAAGCCACTTTTTTCCCTGAAAAAAAACAACCAACCAACAAACAAAAAACCCAACAAGCTACAATGCTATTTGTAAAACAACTATTTATAAAGCATATACAAAGGTAATTTTTCCAGAACAGCCACCATGGTAAAAATGCACAAAATGTACTTTGTGTTTTACAGCAGTCTTGTGCGTGACACAGTTGACTTCAGCAAGACTAATGCAAGCAGACAGAGAATATGCCTTTATTTTAGGGAAACCTAAATAATGGGAGCTTAAACAAGAAATGGCTATCACTTCTCTGCTGCTAGGCATAGGCTAATCACTACAAATTGCAGGCAGAATCCTGCGGGAGGTTGCTGTCTTCTTCTGAAACAACTGTAAAGGCTACTGCCAAAGGCACAGTATCAGGAGTGGTCTTGGTTGGGTAGGATGACTGCTATTGTTGATAACATAAGTACAGAAAAACAAAACATACCTTTCCTTGACCTGAAAAAGAATAGATTCATTCAGACTAGCAAAAAATTCTGATCAGAAAAAACATATTCTCCTTTCTGAAATGTTATGCAAGACCTTTAGACAAAACAGTAGCAATTATGTGAGGTTTCAGCACATTGCCAAAGCAAGCCATGCTGAACAGAAAGCAGTGACCTGCTAGTGCACACATACAGCACAAATGATATAGCTATAAAAATCAGAACTAAACCAACCCCTCATCCTCATAAAGGTACTTGACAGTTCCCCAGAGGATAACAAACAGCATTGGCACACCTGAAAAGAGAGGAGACAAGGCTGACATTGACACTGAGACTGGGAAAAGCAGAGAGAAGGACAACTCCCTCTGCCTCCCCCCATAATGATGAGCTACATAATTAACTGGTGTCAGGGTTACAGCTCCTATCCAACACAGACTGCCATGAACAGTGGGCCCCACCTAGTTCTCAACAGGCATGAAAGTACCCAATAACAGGCATTCACAACTTCTTCTGTGGATATTTTCACAGACAGGCCAAGGGAATTAAAAATTTTGGAAGCTCTACTAGCCTCTGTACTCATTCTAGAGAAGGGTGCAGTGTGCTCTGACCAAAACCTTTGTCTCTGCTTGTGGGTCACTGTATTCAAGCAGGACCAAGTTCAGGCTGTCTACTGGTGTTGAGGCTGGAGCACACATGGCCCCCATGGAAGAGGGAAGGTGGGCACACCCAGCAAGTGTCCTCCCCTACAGAGAAGTCCCAGTTCTGTTTGTGGTATTGGCATGGACTTGAGTGGCTGCAGCAAAGACAGCAGAGGAAGCTGGCAGCGAGGAGAAGTTTGGCCCTACCCTCACCTGACAGTGCATGCGCTGCAGCTCATCAACTCATCTGGGGTGTAAAGGGCAGAGACAAGCCAAGTACGCCAGCACTCATTACCTGCTTTACAGTATCAAAGGCTCTCTAATTAACTTCTTGCATTTATGAAGAGCCTAGGTCATTAAAAATAATTTTAAAGTGCATTTACCAACCAATACTCAGTACAGAGAATGATAAAAATGCACGCAAGGAAGGAAAGCAGGCTGTAACTCAAAATGCAGGATGAGGAATTTCTGCTTAAGAACAGATCAAGATGGTCTAATTCCTCCTTGGACAGTGTGTGATACTGCATGTGCAATCTACAGAAAGAGCAACATTTAGTATACTTTGTTACTTTATTCTTAAGAACCAGTAAAGTAAGAACATCAGGCTGCAGCAGTGAGTTCTGCACAGGGCAAATTCACAGTTCATGGCAGCAGAAGCCATAGGGAAATTGCTCATTCTCCACAGTCTGAATACCTCAAGCAGTATCTTTACTGGGTAATATCAGTAAAAAACTTTCACTTTTGTACTGTAGAATTTCTCTGCTATCAGAACAGCTAAATAGCACAGACACAAAATAATATTCTCTTTAATAAGTTACTTGAAAAAAAAAAGAACAAAGAGCAGCATAGAAAAAATACCAATAATTAGAATAATAGCAAAGATAATGAATTGAGTAGAGATTATTTGGGCAAACAGCTACCATGTTCCATGGATTTACTTGATACTGAGAATACACCGTATTTTGGGAGCAAAGTTAACAAAAACTCTATGCTGCTTTGATAGTCATATAAAGAGATTAAGAACAGGCTCACTACACATCACTTCCAAACCAAATTAAACTTTGATCCACAGAAACAAATTAGTTTGAATTATTCCTTTCTTGACTTTGCTGAGCATTAAGACATCTTAATATGAAACTTACAGGATAAGACAAACACTGAGAGCACAAAGGCTGTATGTCAGTGAATGTATAATTTGATACATCAAGTGATAACAATAATGATTTCTAGATATCTCAGTCTTTTCGATACATCAGAAATCTCTCCATGTTTAATCAAATCACTTGACATTTGAATTGAGAACCCATTATTAAGACTGTATTTCAAAAGAGTCTAACTAGAGGGAAGCTGATATAATAGAATTGCATCAGGTACGTAAACATTATACAAATTACTAGGCAGCAAGTATAAAGTAATTTTTTCAACATTCTCTGCCCACTTGTGATGCACACCTGGTGTGTTGGTATTGCAGCACCATCAGTCACACTATTTTCCATGTTGGCAATGCACATTTTGAGACACCAAGACTTAAAAGTGCACACATGAATTTGCACTGATGTTCAAACCTTACTGCATGGATACTACCTACTACCTATTTGGACATCTACCAAATTCACAAAGCCTCATCCTGAGAAATGGATTGCTCTGGAAACTGTCTGGGACACAGTCTCAGCAGATGGGAACAAATGCAGTTTTCCAAAGCCCTAGTGAAGATCTAAAGACAAGACTGCCCCAAGAACGTCCTCTAATTCACTTCAAGCCTGTAAAAGTCATTCCATCACAGCAAAAGAGCAAATCTGAAGCATCTCTGCAATAGCTGCAGTTTGCAAGGATCACTGAGACTCTCCAAAGACTAATTAACAGTCTTGATATCTAATTAGCCTGCATTAACTAGCAAAAAATCATATATTATTCTGGTTACTTCACTCAGTCAAGAGAACTCTGTCTGGTTTGAGCAGGCAGTAGAAGTAAACTGAATACAACTCACTGAATAAACACCACAGATGACTATGATGCTGTTTCATTAACAGCATCAGTGGTGTATTCCACTCCTGGGCTTCCAATATAACACTTGATGCAGTTGAGTTTCAGTTTAACACTTCTTTCTCCTGCTGCTGCTATTCAAAGTATATCAGATACCCAAGAAAAAAACACATTAACAGGAGGCATTTATTTAAGGTGTTGGCTCAACTCTTTCTGGTTTTGCTTTTTTGCCATACAGAAAGCTCTGAGATGGATCTCTTCCAAGATTAACTGACCAGAGAAAAGTCTCTGAATTCTGGAAATGGTAATTGTACTTTTTCTTCTGTACTGCATCACTGCTGAAGATGCCAGAAACTGCAACAGCCTGATCATGATAAACTCTGTGATCTTAATTCTTGCAGGTTGATAGGTGACCCAAAATCTTTGAACACTACATGGTGATTATGAAATCTGTCAAGTGTACTAGAAAATAAGTGTGCTGACAGCTCAGCTAATAAAGTTCAACTTCAAATGACTGGGCATCTGAATTATAGGCTGCAATAATAATATATATTATGGATGATGAGAAAGTAATGGAACTCTCAAATCAACATCTTAACGTCCCACTGCAATAAATAAGCAGCACAACCTACTTTGTTTCACTCTAGCTTACATATTCTACACCTGGCAAGGTGCCTGCATAGTAAGAAAAACAAAAAAAAAGTTGGAAAAACAATCATCTTTCAGAATGTCAAAAGAACAGGGTACGTAAGAGAACAGAATATTGAGAAAACCTTCACAAGTTGACATTTTCAGAATGCTCCACTATCCCTAATGAGAGGGGCAAGAAATTCCTGCAGCTGCTAATGGAAGTTACCATGTCCTGATAGCAGCATGCAAAAATCAGTCTCTTCATTTAACAGGTCTGAGATATTCTGGCAACAGAACAGAAAAGCTTGGGTTTGTTCTGGAACCCACCATGTCCCCATTACCACGAGTGGTGTCACCAGGTGGTGCTGTTCCATGCCATCATCTTTCCCTTACAGTGCAAGCAAATTTCCATTCTTACAGACACCGTAATTGTAGCCTTTTATTGTTCCTCACTTTACATGGAGGCAATTTCAGGAAAAACACGTGAGAAGCAAGGAGGCTCCCCTTATCCTCACGCACTGATTAGAGATTCTTCCTGAAGTAGATTTGTCTCTGAAGGACCAGAGCACTCTGCCATCCTCCTGAAACCCTTAAAGGACATATTCTAAGTACAGCATTTTAGGGCTGTTTTCAGTATTTTAGCCATAATCTGACATCCCTTGTTTCCATGTGTGATAACTTCGACCTCTGAGAATATCAGGCACATAAACCAGAAGAATAAGTCCATTCTTCTTTCTCTCAGAAATCATCCAAGATGCTCTGACTAGACTGATAAAGGAATGCAAGAATGATGCCATGAGGAACTAAGAGAAATGATAAACAAATATCACTACATGTAAAAAGAGTAAAAGCAGTGATGATGTGAAAAGATTAATTTTTTTTCTTCCTAAAAAAGGGAAGAACATGAAAAAGTTGAATTTAGAAAACAAGAGGGTGAAGGGGATTAAGAGGAATTCTTGACGTGAATTTCTTACCAAGATCACTCTGGACACAAAATCTATTTTTACATCCTTGTCTGAAGCAGAGTTTTCATTTGAAAATAGAAAAGAAGTGGTCAGAGCAATGAATACAACCTCTTGCCACAGTGAGTTCATACTGGGTTTCTAAAGGAAGGTTTCTTACTGGTTCTGTTTCAGTCATATATTCCTTGCAATCTGGATGTAGATTTTTGTAGCCCCAGCCAGGCTTCCTGCTTTTAATAGTTTAATTCCTCAAAATATTCTTCCTTAGAGCAAATTTGAATTGCCAGGGCTTGGAAGGAAGCAGATTATTTCTTTTTTATGGTGATTTTCCTGCTGCAAGTTCAACTGGGTGTAAAATTACCACAGAAGCTCAGAGAATATTTAGCTGTTTATTAATATTTTCTTCTTAGCTTTTACTGCTAAAAATGGTCTCCTTGTTTAGATATCACTCAGAGTCACAGTGGGATGTTTCTGTTGTTTCCCCATTCTTCCCTTCTCTCTACTCTTAAATGTGAATGGGTCCCTTTTCCACTAAAATCTGCTGATACAGCAGCTTTACAGTATAAACTGTTCCTCTCCAGAGACTCCTCGGTACAGCACTGATAGCTGAAAGTCAATGTCAGGCTCAGCAACTCCTGCCTTGACTCACACATGATGAAGACTGGGTTGGTGTCCTGGCCACTGATTCCGACCAGTCTGCACATACTGAGAAACAAACAAAACAAAAAAGTAATGATTTTGATCTCTGTGGTTAAGTTGGGTTTTTTTTTTCACTGCTTTATTATAAATGTTTTGTCTTCTCTCTAGAAAGTGAGATCCATGGGCAAGGATTTCTAAAGGAAGCACCAGGTACCAGCAGTGCATAACAACAGATTTTCTTTTCTGCAAGTGCAAATAACTATGTGAATCAACAGCTGTTGTAGCTGCTGCTGAGCTAACCTCCAGAGTGAAGGAAACCTCTCACCTACCTGCTCTTCCATTAGCCTATTAAAATATTGGGGTTTTGATGCTGCAAAGTGTTTCTGCCTTATTTTTATCCATCAGCATTGAAATAGGAATATACAATTGCTTTTGCAGTAAGATATGTGGAACTTAAGGTTGACATAAATGTATGAAAGTCTGCTTTGACAAAGAAACAAGACATAAGCAAGACATATTCCACATTAAATGAAATAGGAAAAATGTAACACTGCTATCTCAAAGCCTGGTGTGGCATGAAATCTCAGCAACCAAGTGGCCATTAGGAATGTAGGTACCTCACAAATAATAGGGAAGGTTTAGAAAATCCTATCAATATACATGATGTTAGCATAAATCTCCCAATTTAAGAAACTACATTAGTTTTCATAGGTCTATCAAGATTTTATTACTTTTCTAGGTTTTTTCAAGTACAATAATGCAAGATAGACTTTTCTCTTTATAAACACTTCAACAGCAAAGGATAATTAATCATTTGAACTGATAATAAATGGACTACTGTCTAATAACTGACTTTAGAACTGACCTGATATTATCATGTAACAAAAATATATTTGGAATATCTTGGAACAACTGGTCTACTATAGGCTGAATCTGACGTAGAAGGGAAAGAAAATCTTTAGTCACAGGCTTGCCAAGCCTGGGAAGAGGGCTTTAAACTGAAGTTACTGGGGAATGTGATCCTTAATCTATTCCACTCCTACCACCAGCATGCCAGTGCCAGTACCTGCAGGGCTATGATCTCACTGGCATCACAAACACGGTGGGATGCCTCCTCACTGGAGTGTTGGAACAGATTGCCACAGGCTCTTCAGGAAAGCCAGGCAGGAGAGAGCAGGAGGGGCTGTCACCACATCAACAGCAGCTGGAGTGGATGAAGTTCCACCTAGGGATGGGTGAGGAGCTGACTAGGAGCTTATGGGTCAGGCTCAAGGGAGGACAGGGACAAGTGACATTACAGGGGAGTCTGCTGTAGGCTGCCTGACCAGGAAGCTCTTCTGTAGACAGACAGGAGCAGTCTCACAGTCACAAACCCTGGTCCTCCAGGGGGACTCAAACCACTCCCATATCTGCTGGAGGGACTGCACGGCAGAGCATAAGCAATCCAGGAGTTTCACGCATCACACTGAAATTCCTTCTCCAAGTGACAGAGGAGCCAATGAGGAGAGGTGCCATGCTGGACCTTGTTCTCACCAACAAGGAGGAGCTGTGGGGAACATGAAGCTCAAGGGCAGCCTTGGCAGTAGTGACTATGAAATGGTGGAATTCAAGGACCTAAGGGCAGTGACGAGGGTGCACATCAAGCTCAGTACCCTGAGCTCCAGGAGAGCAGACTCTAGCATGTCTGAGAGTGATCACAATCCTCAGTTATAATTCTAAGAAGTAACAACATGAACTGACTGGTTTTGAGCAATACAAACATGAAATTTTCATACATAAATATTAATCAAATGATGAGAAATGAACAAGTTAAAAAATGTCCTGTGAGGGGACAATTCATTAATGGAACAAAGGGTCAGAGTATCAAATTATTTGTCAATCAAATAAATATTTATTTTTTTGTTCCAGCTTTATTTTTACAGCTAATTACCTATTTCAAAGAGCAGGACAACAGTTCAAACAGGAACCTGCTGGCTCTCTCTCTGAAGCCTCAGCTTCATCTACACTAAGGCTATCATGCAGCTCAAAAATCATATTAAATAAAAATCTTCTGAGCATTGTATACAGTTGAAAGTTACCTGGTGAGGGACTTGAGCATCCAAAAAATGGAATCACCAATGAAGATGCAGAAACCATGGGAAAAATTTTGGTATCTTTCCACTGGTTAGAGATGAAATTGCGATCTGGTATAACTAATCTGGGAGCACTGAAACAGCAGATGCTTCTGTATTTGAAGGTGGAGAATCATTGGCAAGATTTGCACATGCAGACACATATGGAAGAGCAAGAAACCATACAGGTAACTACTGAATGGAGTGGACAGAATTTTTCTAGAAAGCTTGGATGAAACCCATGTATCTAGTGCCAAGTTCTTGCATTGCTGCTCATTTCTACAAACTCATTTAAAAATTCAATATACAATAGCAAAACCACCTTTGTAAAGGAAGAACAAAACCAAAGTAACATCACCTGTTTCTGCCTTCTGCATTTGCAGGAGACAAACTCTAAATAGAAGTGATTCAGACCAAAAGCAGCCTACCTTTTCTTGTAAAACAACACAATCCCCATAGGATTTGACTGGACATAATTTTGTTGTAATTTCTTTTCCATTTCCTTTCATGACCTCAGTCATGAAAGGAAATGGAAAAGTCGTGCTTCAGGATAGCTCCCACTCCCCTTTCTTTTAAATTAAATTGAGCGTCTAATCAAAACATATAGTTCAAATGTTAAACAAAAAGGTGCTGCTTTTGCTGCATGCCTTGGATTTACTTTCATCTTTCCAAAATTGGCCTGATTCCACAAAAAGGGAAGGGGTAGAGAAGAGGGATGGAGAGAATGCCATAGAAGTATATGCAAGATAACTCCAAAATTAGGATTAATCCCAAACGGTAATGTATTTTCACTGTATAGGTGAGCTTTACCCTTTCTATAGAATGCGACCCTTACTCAACCAGCTGATTTCAAGCACATCAAGGCATCACAACCCTTGATTTCAAGCACACACATGCCCATTGCACATGCACCATGGCCTTTTTTTTCCAGACAATCCCTTTTTTACCTGCTCTGCCTCCTTAGCCAACCTGACACCTCTCAGCTAGCAGCCCCTTGTTCATAAGCCTTTTTGCATCACCTCCTCTCATGCTGTCACCACTTCTCTACTGTTATCCTTGTCCAGATGCAAAGCATCATTGCTATTTTGCACCACAAGTAGTTTACACACCTTTAAATGCAATGGGAGACTTTCAGGAGATGAAGCAGGACAGTCCAGAGAATCCACACCCAGCTGGAACTACCCATACACAATCTGTCCTAGGAAGCTAATGTCCTGAAGGAAAAGTAGCTTGCCACTGGTTTGGTGGGTTTCTGCGGTGTCCCACAGCCTCTGTGCCGTGAGCATCCAGGAGCTGTGACCACACCCTTCAGCCCAAACAAGGTAATGAATTGGGAACAAAAAGAGAATGCAGAGTGCAGAACCTGAACTGGGCAGCACTAGGACAGTCACACAAGTTTTCCTGTTATCCCCTCTGCCAGCGCAGCCACAGGAGGACAAATGGAAAAAAATCAACTCACCCCAACCAATGCAGAGATAGATGTGGAAAATCCTCTGCTCAGAGAAGACCGAAAGTACCAGCAGTGTGTACAGGTACATGCCTTCCACCAGCAGCCAGTAGTAATTTGCAGCCACACAATACTGCATCATCACAAAGACCAAACGGCAGCTGAGTGATTCCTGTGACAGAAGAAAGCACAGCCCAAAGTAACCCAACAGGGACTGAGAATAAAAGGATACTAACTCAAAAGACCAAAAGACTGCTTCTTTACTATTCTTGCTCCTCAAAAAGAGAGCTTGCTAAAGTAATCATATGTTTTATTGCTGAATGGACAGAAGCCAGTAATAGGTGCTATGCACAGCAGACAGATGCTTTCAACAACACTACTCCTTAAAATAAGGGTACATGTTCTGTAGTTTCCCCTCAACAAGCAATGGATTTTATTTTGAAAAGCATGAATAAAGATGAAAATAACAAGTGAAAGGTACTGTATCAACGACAGTCAGTGAATCTTTCAATTTCCTGGATACTCTGTTTTGCAGTTGAGAATTTCTTTATTAAAAAGAAAAGAGTGGATGCCATAATGTTGACTATTTGTCAAAGCAAAAGATATTTTCATAGAATAGCAATGTTGCCCAGTGCACCCCATTTAAGTGCAAATTCTCTCATAGCTGGTAAAATACAGAGATGACCAGTAGGGCTTTAGATAAGTAGGAAACCTGATTACCTAATTAATATATCCATCAGACCTGATGAAACCACTATTGAGTAAACCGTGTGTAAAATCAAAGTCTACACTTTTTGAAAAGAGGAAATGACAGACAATCCAATATGAACATTTCCAAACCATTTAAGATACAATGTTATTTTCTGGCAACTGATAAATTGCAGATAAGAAAAAAAATCAACCATCATATGAGATTCACTAAGTTGGTTTAGCACTTCTGCCTTAGGGCACTAAGGATGCATCAAGAGAGTTTCCCTTACCACTCCAACCCTGTACTGCAGCAGCAAATGCCATACCCATGTTTTAGAGTCTCAAGAGTTATACAGATAATAAAGCTACTTTTCTTTGCAGTTTCAAGTACATTTTGCATTCCAAACTCAAATGGGGAAGGGCACATTTCCATCATTATTTACAGAAGAGTTGTATATCCTCTCTCATCAGTTAGAATTATTTAATTAGCCTATTCCTCCAAAGCTTTTCTAAATGCTTTCAAATTTGCATTTTAATCAGACACTTCCTTTTTCTCCTGTCATCAAAACATTATATAGAGATGACCAAGAACAACCAACTTAGCTGGTGGACAACCAACTTACCAAATGGACAGTTCTATCACAAAAAGTGCTGGCTTAGGAGAATAAATGCTCTCTTGCCACTGATGGAAAGAAATTAAACTGCAGCACAAAAAGAAGATATGGGCATTGGTGTATATATATATGTGTGTGTGTATATATATATATATATATATATATGTATGTATGTATGTATGCAAAAAATATCAGCTTCTTGTTTGTCTGTCTACTGGGGGCAAACTCCCCACAGGTAGAAAAGCATGCTATGCTATCAACTAAAGAATTAAATTACCTACTGTCATGCAGGCACACCACAGTGATGGCTCCAATATCCTCTGAACGACCACAGTGTCTGCCCTTACCTGGAAGGCTATAAGTCCTTCCCACTGGTACTCTTGTGTGGCTGTGCTGTACATCCATTTCACCACTGAGTCTTTAATGAAAACAGATATAGCCCGGAGGATAAAAGAGGCGAAGAGGTTCAGGTGAATGTAATTCCTTGTGCAATGCAGATGTCTGTAAAAAGAAAAATCTAGTCACGATCCACTACCTATATTAAAGATGCAACATCAGACAGACACAGGACTGAGAAAGGGAACAATGAGCCCTGTAAGAAATCAGGAGGCACCAGAGGAAATCCCATAACTTGAGAATGGCTGTAGGGATTTCAGACTGTCTTTGGGAAGAAAATACTATCAAGGAAAACACATTCAAAACTTCAACCCTTAGAGACAATGTTTGGGGAGAGGAAGAAGACAGGTGTATTAAGAAAAAAAAAAAGTCAAAAGCTTAAGAAGTGTAAAAATAAAGTCATTTCCAGAAGCCTTATCTGAAAGAACTGAAAAAGTCAAGTTCCACATAATGCTGAAGCTAATTGCTTTGAATTGACCCCAGTGTCACTGTGCAAGTTTACCTTGGCAAAGCTCAGCACTGGTATGCAGTGCAGCTTCTGGCTGTGCTCAAGCTCACAATGAGAAAACATCCACCTGCAAATCACCCTTCGACAACAAGAGAAAAATCTATATTCAAACTGCCTTCTGGGAGAATTGTTAATACTTTTTGTAGAAGTAAAAGGAACAGATTTTTCACCTCTGCATTCAGAATTGAAAACAAAAAAACAGAGGAAAAATCCTTTTGAATTTCAGCAGCCTGCTGCAAAGACAATAAAATTGCTACTTGTCAAAAAAAAAAGTGTGTTAAGGGATAGCAAAAGCAACTGCAGTCATGTATAGGGCGTCCACGTGCAGAGTGTTGCCAATATTTTACCAGCCTTATTCACAAACATTTTTCTCCCAGCTCTGCAAGGGTACACACTTTGCCAAAAAGAAAGTTACACTAGGTATGATTTTTAAGATGCTAAAAGACAGATGTAACACATGGTAATCGGCAATTATTTCAGCAAAAGTTTCAGTGAACTTATATTTCATGTGTCTGGTTTTTACAGCTCTATAAATTTTGGTAGAAAAACTGACTTGGTCTGAAAATTAGAGACTTGCACTGAAGAACAACTTGTTTATCACAGGTCAGGTAGAATTTTTGTATCACTTTTAAGTCACAATTTATTTCAAAATTTACCTATTATTAATACTTGTGTTCCTTAAACTCAAAATTCATTTGTTGCTACCCTTCAGAACTGCTACACATTTCAATCTGATTGAAAAAGTTATGTAAATTAGGCAATTGAAGAAAATAGTTTGCAAGTAGTTACTGAGTATTTTTGCTACTGGCAATGCAAGTTATTCAAATTGTTTCAGTCATGAAGTTATGGGCCTAATTCAGCTTCCACCACTGAAATTACAGACTTTCCTTCCTTTTTTTTTCGGAGGATCCAAAATAGTACTCTAGACAGATACTGTTTCCTCTGCTGTATCACCTTTAAAGACAAATATAAATGTAATTCTGTAGTCTAAGAACTCTAAGAGGCCCATCAGTATTTGCAAGTCATTGAATTAGATTTTGATCCCCATTTGTTGAGGCTGAGCAGAGATTCCAGTCAGAAACCAGAAACTGCCATGCTCAAAGGGGTAGGTCTCATATTTCATGAGATCCAGGATGACATTGTCTCCTGGTAAACAACTGAGACAGGAGAACAGAAAAATGGACTGATAGCATAGTTTTAACAAGACTCTTGGTACCTCTGATGTCCCTAGACCCTCACTTTCAAAATAAGAAATACACACTTGTGTACAGTTCACAATTGAAGGAAAAAAATGCTAAAGCATCATCCCACAAGTCAAGACATCAAAATTCCCTCTCTCCTACCACTTCTTGGGGACAAACTTGCTCTTTGTTCCCTGCCAGAAAACATTCTTTCTTCCTTCCTTCAAAAAGTACATGGTTGTGCTCTGTGACCTTTACATTTGGTCTGCTAAGATTACTCAAGAAGTGTCATTGAGAGGTGAAATGAGGGGAAAACAGTTATCCTGGGAGACATTTGGAGACTTCCAAGACCATCTGGTCCTTCTTCAGAAAGGTCCCAAAGTTGCACAGGTACAACACATACAAATCATAACTATCACATGGTATTCACAGAGGGTGAGCATGTCTATGAATTTTTGCAGTCATTTTAAGACTTCCTTGATATTGCCCATTTATGCTTCTCCACTGGAAGGAGAAGAGATAATATAGTGCTAAAAAAGTATGGTTCAATGTTAGAAGGCTTGCATCACTTCAGTTTTGGAAATTAGAAGACATGACTGACCTCTTTAAACATATAAGGGAAGAAATGAAAGGGACTGCCTTGCTAAAAGTGTAATGCAGGTACCAGAGGAAATGACCAATAACTGGCAGTGGTAATTCTTCAGTCAGGGAAGGAAGTTTGTTAAGGATCAGAGGATTACTAAAGGTTCCTGACTTGACTTGAGTACCAGGACATGGAACATTATACTATTTCAGGAGGCAGCCTCACCAGGACATAAGAGGGATGGGATCTGGCTGGAGGGATCAGTTTCACGGCAGAGGGACTTCCTTCCTGCAACAGAACAGGATCTCATTTTTGTGTTTTCTAGGTATCCATCTCCTGTGCTCAGCACCCCCAAACTGAAGGAAAGTCTGGCTGGAATAAAAACATCTCTTGCATTTACAGAGGGGAGAAAAAAAAAAAAAAAAAGATCCCTATTAGAATCCAAAGTTGTGTTTTGGTCTGGTGGGGGTTTTGGTTAAAAAATTAATAAAAGACAAAATATACACACTGTATCTTTGGCATGGGCAACCAAGAGAGTCTAAATTTTTATATGTTCTATTGAATTTGTAGGTGCAAACCTGGATGAACTCAATATGTCTCTATGACCAGCTGTCAGCAATTTATTTCACAAATATTTCAAGTTCCAAATTAAGACTCTCTCCCATATTGTGAATGAAATAAGAATTTCTGAAAGTTCTCCAAAATTATACATTTTATCAAAAATCCATTTCTGCACATCTTGTATGTGAAGGCTGGGACACAGGCCAGACTGAGATTTATGCTCTGGTTAACTCCAAACAAAGCAAGATGAAAATTTTTCTCCTAGATGTCCTTGCCCATTTCAGATGTGTGCCTCATCTTCAAGGTGAGACCATGAAGGAATGCTTGCATCTCTCTCTTTTACCACCTATTCCAATGGAAATTTCATTGAAATAAAAACCTGCCAAACAAAATACTCCAACTGATAAAAAGTACCTGTTCTACGTGTTCATATGGGCAACTGCAAAAATTTGGCAATTTTGCTTGCATTTTGAGAAGGAATTATTTTAGGAAGAAACACAGAAGTGACAAAAGATAGAGAAATAATGAGGTGATGGAAGGAGGGAAAAAAATAATCAAATGTTTCTGTTAAAGTCTGATACTATCATATAGAAAAACATAAAACCTTTAGCTCACTCTCTTCAAAGCTTCTCGTTACCTGAATCCAAGAAGAATGGCAGTTGCTATTACAAGGGCAGAGAAGGAAAGAGCATATCCAATGGTGTATATGATGGACAAATTCAGGAGCTGTTCTTCTGGTGCATCCTGAGAGCATATAAAGAAGAAAAGAAAAACAAAAAAGTGGAGGGGGAAAAGAGAGAGCTCATGGCCTTCAGTTCTTTCCTCCCAGCTACCTTCTAGCTTTCTTAATGATAGCCAGAAACCATTCTCTTACTTTCAAGTTTAAATGCACGTGTCAAATCGGTCTTCCACTTTCTATATGCTCAAAAAAATTAAAAATTTAATCTTAATTCCTCAGCTGCTTCCAGGTATTGGCTCAAATAGTTGGGTTTTGCAGCCTGGCTAGAAAAATAGATAATGTGCCATTATTTCATAATAAATAGATAATGTGACATCATTTCATAATAAAGTTGGAGAGACATGAATTCCACACAAGCAAGTCTTAAAACTGATGGCAGGAAGCACAGACACAACTCATAGTAAAAATGGAAGACCTAATCTTTTCAGACTTGAGCACTTCAAGCAAGTCTCCTTACTGTGATAATGAGGGAGGGTCCTCATCTGCACTAGGAAGTGCTACATCTATACTTCAAAGTGCAACAAGCCAGGACCTATTTGATGATTTGGAGGCAAAACATGTCATGCATTCATATAGCTAAACCCTTTTCTGCCCCCAAATAACCTGTGTTCTGCCTCAACTATTCTACCTCCTGGTAACAAACCACAGCCCAACAGCACCTCATGACCTGGGTGTTAACACACTCTTAGAGAGGCAGTGACCTGCTGCAGACAAGAGCAGCAGGGGCTCTCTTCAGATTAACTGAAAACATGATTATTGAGACCCTTGCTTGAAAATTCTGGCCAAAATCCTTATTGAGAAGAGAATTACTTGAAAAGGTACGGCAGGTCTGAATTTTAAGACAGTCTTACTGCTTAGCCTCCAAGGCATATTCATATTCACTGTTCTAGCTCATCTCTAAGCACTTATCTTTGTCTAAATAGACTCAAGGATTTTATTTCCCTTCTTCAAGCTGCTAACTCTGCAATTGACTCCTGAGACCTGTGCTGTACAAAGAAATACATTCTTTGTACTTCATAAATTAGGTACAGTTATTCAGTATTTTGCACAGCCAGGAGGATTTAAGGTGAACACACAGACTGTACCTCAGATTTGCTAGCTTATTGCTTTAAAGGGAATGCTATGAAAGTTGCCTTATGAAAAGCAAAATCTCTTCAGTACCAAAGCTTAAGCAAACAACTGAAACCTAACAATTTAAAACACATACACAGATGAAAATGACATCATACACCTAAATTTATAAAGACTCACTAACACTTTGGAATTTGTTTTAGTTACCTTTGTAATATAACACATGACAAACTCATAACAACAACTTCTTGTTCCCATATGCCAGATGCATAAACCAAAGTTACTATGGGGCTCTATATACATTAGCTGGAAAGCCAAACATGGCTGTTCACATTTCAGGGAGTGACACCATGTGCAAAGGGTTTCAGAATCCAGATGAGTTAATGAAAAACTGGAGGCAGGAGCCAAATAAAAGAGTGTTACCATTAGGTATCTCACTCATTGGCATGTCCCAGCACAGCTCTGGAAGAAATCATAATGGCCAACAAGGAAAAGTCAAACATCCAGGCTTATACACAGCGTTAAGACAATGTGTTTTGCTGATATAGCACAGAACACAAAAGGGAAACCACAGAGGACATAGATCCTGCAGTTCTTGGGATTTTCATAAACTTGAACTGTTTTGACTAGGTAATGCACTAGTTCCCAGTACTCCAGGATAGAGAGAGTTCACTCAGTTTCTGTGAAGAAAAGCATCACCCTGAGAAGTTCACAGTAGTAGCGGTATCACGTGTCATAGGAAATGCACACAGTGCACTGGCTGACGCCAATGGCTGTCAAAAATCCTCTGAAAATCCCTATGCTCTCCTTCATTTAGTGCCAGGCATCTTAGCTCCCTGCAGAGTAAAAAGCACGAGGGCAAGAAAATAATACTGACAAGCCTAATTCCATCACCCACAGAAAATGAAGGTATAAAGAAAAAAAAAGGCAGGTATTGCCCCATGCCCAAAGGTGAAAAAGCAAATATCCTTCAATTCAGTTCATCTTAATCGCCGCTAAAAAGACAGAGCAAATGGTCACTATTACAATGACCATTTTACCATTGGTCATATTACAACGACAAGTGACAATGGAAAACAGGCAAAGGAATAACAGTAGGTCATTCCTTCAGCTGAGCTCCTTGTTCAACTTGCACCACAGCTGGGATGACCCAAATAACTTCTCTTGGCTCTAACGTACATTTAATTGTGCTCTCATCTATCCTTCATGTTCCCTTTGTTGAAGAGGAGAGACCTGATGTCCCTTAGCATTAGGCTCACTGAGGTGAGTCAGTCAGGATTACTCTGACAGGAGAAAAACGCTGTGTCGCTGTCGAGGCAGGATAGGAATGAGAAGACTCTGATCAGAAGGCTGCTGAGAGTAAAACTCCGATTTATTCAAAATACACCGCTCTTTTATACAGAGCTTTGTGAGGCCAACTCCATTGGTTCTGAAGTGAAAACAACCCACAGCATTGGTGCAAAGTGCTTGACGCACAGTGATAGAACTTAACTATAAACAATGTGAAAAACAAGAGAGATAAAGAATTATTTACATTCTTCTCCAGCTCTTTCCCAGGCTTCTGCCTGGCTAGAAACTCTCGTTTCTCTCTTTGACTGAATCTGAGTCCAACATGCATGGGCATCAAAAATTAATTTTTTCCCTCTCTTCTGCTTTGTCCTAAATAACAGCAGCAAGATGGGGGGAAATGGGCAAAAGTCTTACCTGGTCAGAGGGCTCACACTCAGAGAGGTTCCTCCAGGGCAGGGTTGAATTCTCCTTCAGCAGCCAGGTCCCCTCCAAGGTGCAGAAGCGGTACACCTGCCCATGCAGCACTGCCAGGAGCAAAATGAGCCACAGGGTCACTGGAAGAGAGCCTACTCAACCAAGGGGCAAGGCTCACAAATCATCTCCATGCAACCCTCCTTCCCACTGCTCTCCTGGCTGGAGAGGGAAGCTGCAGCATGGCAGGGGAAGTACCTGCTCCCTGCCTGCCCCCAACACTCTGCTGCTGGTCCTCAGGGTCCCAGAGCAGCTGCCAAGGTATCAGATGGCACCAGGACATGTTCCAGGACAGTTGCTGACCATTCCACACTAATGAGAGACTGAAATAATTGCTGCCATATTTGTGTGGATTTTATAACATGCATAAATTCCAGCTCACTAAAATATTAGATTCTGAAACAAAGAAATTCTAGGAATGTTAAGCTTCAGATATAGATTCTACATGGAAAAGAAGGTACACAAAGACTAAATGTGCTTTTTCTTTTCCAAAAGCATGCAGACCCAGAGAAACCTTAGAACGGGTATGCTAACACAAGCTTCCCAAAATATAAATGCTTATACAAACATCTGTGCTACAAAATGAAGCCATAAATCTTTTCCTAAACTAAGTACCCTTTCTATTCTATACCCTTTCTATAATAACAAAATTAGTAATAAATTAAACACCTTTCTCAAGCAGTAAGCTGCTTGATAATGTAAAAGCAAGTACATTGAAATGGCTCCTAAGAAAATTATGTCAGACTGAAGTACCAAAAGAAAAAGTGCAAAGGGAAAGCAGCGCTCAGTAATAGTGTATGAAAAGAAATTCCCTCTCTAGTGTCTGAAGTACTGGGGAAATCTAACAGCTTAGACAGCTGTAGACACAAGCAACTGGAAGTGTCCTTGTATGAGCTGTTTAGCAAATAAAGTTTCTCACTAATCACATTTTTGATCCAGTAAACTGACCTATTCTGTATAATGAATCTACCCCTCAAAAAGCAATGCTGAGTCAATCCCTCAACCAGGGTTAGCCTCTGCCCAGACAATGTTTGGAAAAATACACTTACAATATTATGGGTATAAGAAGATGAGTTATGAGGATTCAGTTCTACATGGGCATCAAAACACCTCCCAGTTACAGCTTTTGCTCAAACACAGTTTTGCCTGCTTCAACCTCATGCTGTTGTCAGCTCCCTCATTACTGCAAACTAGAATAATTAGCATTTGGTATTTCTGTTCAATGGGAAAATTTTAAAATGTATTTGAAATTCTAACAACCCAGTAGGCTATTTGCATGTTAGCTGACAACAGATAATCTATTTAATAATTGTCAGCAGCAGACAACTAGTAGGTACTATAAGTAATAAATGTTAAAAAAAATATAAACATTAATATTCTAATAAGCCATTTTTAATGAGTATGCTAAATGGTAGCTGATAATGGTTCTGGTATACAGTCTGTTTGGTTTTGTAATTGCTATACTGAATACACAAGTAAGAGGTAATATCAAGATGAGATAAAAATTAACCTATGTTCATGGAGGTTTTTTCCTTACTATTAAGGATATGTGTTCATACAAAAACAGAAGGAGATATTAGGTACAGCATCTGCAACACACATTCACAGCCACTAACTGCACCTGCTCTCATTATCTACTGCCAGTGACAACCACTTCCTTAGGTTAGCACATTGCTATGATGTTGCTCAAGGGTAATAAAAATGCTTATTTAGGAGCATCAGGAGTAAAAGAAAGACTAGGGAAAACATGGGTCCTCTCAGGAAGGATATAGGAGACCTGGATGCAGAGGACAGGCAGAGGGCTGTGAGGTTCTCAATGGCTTTTTTGCTTCAGCCTGGAGAAGAAAAGGCTCCAGAGAAACCCTACAACAGCCTTTCAGTTCCTGAAGAAGAAAAGCTTGAGAGTAAATTCAGATTAGATATTAGAAAGAAATTCTTTACTGTAAAGGTGGTGAGTCACTGCAACAGGTTATGTTGAGAGGCTGGAGACGCCACATCCCTGGAAGAGTTCAAGACCAGGCTGGATTTGAGCAACCTGGCCTAGTGAAAGATAATCTCAGTCCAGGGCATGGTGGTTGGAACTAGATCTTTCAGGTCTCTCCCAACCCAACCATTCCATGATTCTATGAATATATTAAGGATCTCACACATCATTCCCACTCTCACCCCCTTTATGATTAGTGGTCAGCAACTTGAAGCATGCCATTCAAAACACCTATGCAAAAGCAGCCCTAGGTATCAGTAAATATCGTGTACTTGGAGACAATGAACATGAAAACCAGGAAGTTTAAGTCCAGAGGGTCATAGGATTAGGAACTTTTGTCTGACTGCCATTAGATCAGCTATAACCAAGCATTACAAGACAAAGTTATTATGAGGCATAATCTCAGAAAACAAGAAATTTGGCTATATTCCTGGAAAATAAAACAAGGGAAAAAAACCTCACCCCTCTGAAAGAGAATTAATTAAAAAACAAGCAAACAAGAAAACCCCAAACCTCAACATTATTTCACATTCTCTAAAACTCTTTGTGAATTCCCCCACTCTGCCACTGTTTCTTAGTGGCAAGGTCTAATTGGAATGAATGCTTAGCTTCAATATATTTATTTTCTCTCCCAATCATTATGACACACTTTAATTTTCTTTTTATTGATAAGACTTTTTAAATAATGAAGAGGAAAATCTAGTATATCCTGAAGGCTGGCATATATTAGAGAATTGAAAGGTTTACTGTAAATGAAACATGGAATTTGTTATCAGACAGAAAGACAAGGCAATTCATTTAGATATGAAGAAAAAAAAATAATATAATGCTACTACACTGGACAGGAACATTCCTGCCACATCTAGGAGTCACAAACTCTCAAAGTGGATGGCTCCCACAGATTTCTAGGGTCACATGCCAGCTGTGTCAGATTATCATAGACTCACTAATTGCCAAATCAGGGGTAACCAGTGCAGGACTCTGAGGCAAGTGAAGACCAGGTGGGCTATCTGTAGCCAGGAAGAGCCTTAAAATGTAAAAGAATAAATCAAGCTAATTCAAAATAGATGAGACTGCACATGACAATATGAGAGTCTGAATACCTGATATATAGAATAATTTATTAGCCAAAATGCTTATGAGATAGAAAATGTTATAAAAAAGAATGTTTAAAGAGCATTTATAAAAATGTTATAAAAATTTCCACTTTGAAGTACCATTAAGATTCTAGTTGATACATGGGACAACACATGAAAGAGCTGAGAAAGTGCAGAATGCAGGGCATGAAAATAACACAGGGCTGATGCACAGCAGGTAGCCAGTTACTCTCAGAAATGTGAAAACAAGTCTCACTGTTGTGGAAATGGAATGCTTTCAGTAATATGTCAGACTCCCCATTACCCACACAGCATTGCTGTGGAACTGTGAAGGGCTCAGACATTAATAAACACCACACACATGAGACCCTTCATGCCTTGCAGCTCGGTCCATCCAACACCAGCAGTATGCAGGGTCTCCCAGGCAAACCCAGCCCAAGGGTGTGGCCATCTTCGAGCGCCATGTGATCAGTCAGAGAAGCTGCCTGGAGGAGACTGCCCAAAGCCCAGATTTCACACAGCATGCCCATGGGAAGGTGTGCCTCTGAAACAAAATTCCCAGATTGCATCAGCCCACATTCCTACTTTCTCCATTTCCCAGAAGCGGAAGGCAAACAGCCTCCACCTACTTCTCCTGTGGGCAACAAGCTCAGGCACAGGCTGCCACCTACTACTCCCCAAACACAGAAAAAGTTGTTAATGACCAGCAGCTCAGAAGAGATTCACCTGAGCTGAATGCTTTTCCCCAGTCTTGTCTCAGTGACGTGAGGGACAGAGTAAAACACCAGCAACTCTGCTTTGGTGTTTCTCCAAAATAACCTATAAAACCCTGGAGACTTTAAATCTTCTAATATACAAAATTCCCATCTTTGTTGCAGGTCCAACAAAACTCAAGGAATCCACTAGCTTGTAATCAGGAATGTTTTGACTCAAGAATTGCAAGTGTTTTACCATTCTTTCTGCTCAGAGGAAAGCATGTGGGTTGCAATAAAGCTACCTAAAAAGGTTTCAAAACTATTTTTTTGCATGTACTTTTTATTACCCTCTCTGCACAGGTGGTCATGGCTTAAGATAGCAGAGATCTTCAACCTTCTAAAACAGATAAAGGGATAGTATATGTACACATTCTCTCTTTGCTGAGGGCCTGGTCCAAAGCTCACTAGGAACCTCATTTCCTGCAACTTTCATGCAGTGCCATCGCTGAAAAGAAAATCAGTTATTAATAGACACTGAGACAAACTAACAGTGACATGCTAGAAGGTTGTGTGTATGCCATGACAGAAAGATGGCACCACACAGATTCCCCCACAGCTGCTGAGCAATTTCAGCTTCTTGCTCGCAGGTGGTTTACTAAGAGGCAAATCACATTTGTCCATGCCTGACTTCTGCAGTGTCTCAGGCCCTCTTACCTTTAATGCAGTCAAAACACCAAGCATACAAAGACCAGCAGCAGTTTAGCAGACCAGAGTGATGAACAATATTTTTAAAGGTTCAAGGTGGTTCTTGCCTCCTTGCTATCCTGCAATACCTTTTGCCTGTCCTGTTGAGATTTTTAGAATTCACTTAAGTTAGCAAAATGAATTAAGCATTTATATTTTAGCTTGTAGAATTATGTATTGAATTTTAACCTTTTTCTTAAGAAACCTCCGCAAAGGTACAAAAGGGCATAAGAAAATGCAAATTACTGAAGCTTCTTGCAAAAGAACAATAACAAAAAGGGACCGAAAATACAAAGAACCCAGATAAAGAGGCTCCTCTGTCTCCAAGCTTACCAAATTAACATATGGTACTCAGATAAGCACCAAAAGACTGAAAGCGCATGTGCAGACAGGAAGAGTTCAAAAGTTCAACCATGAGGAAGACCATGATCTTCAGCTTCAGAGACCACCACAGACCTCCACAGGTCCACCACAGCAAACCACGTGTGCCCAGAAGGGCGTGGACCTATTTAGCATGAGGGGCGAGGGCAGGC